CCCCACCCCAGAGGTGGCTGCACCTCAGCGCCAGGTGAGGGATCCGAGTACAAACAGTCCCCACCCCAGAGGTGGCTGCACCTCAGCGCCAGGTGAGGGATCTGAGTATAAACAGCCCCCACCTCGCAGGGCCGGCTTTAGGAAGTGCGGGGCCCACTTCGAACATTTTCGGCGGGGCCCCAGCAGGGATGTCTAAAAAAAAAAAATGTGTAAAAAATCCCCTTTCATTTCTTCCATGTATTATTTACTTTCCATAACTATATAAATAAAAACAAAATTATATATTACGTACACTGCTGGCTGGAGGCAGGGCAGGGCAGGGGCTGACTGGAGATAGGGTCTGGCTGGAGGCAGGGCAGGGGGTGTGGGGCTGGCTGCAGACGGGCTGGCTGCAGGCAGGGGCTGGTGCGGGCAGGGCAGGGGGTGCGGGGCTGGTGTGGGCAGGGGGTACAGCAGGAGCTGGCTGTGGGCAGGGGGTGCAGGGCTGGCTGGAGACAGGGGCTGGCTGTGGGCATGGGGTGCGGGGCTGGTGCAGGCAGGGGGTACAGCAGGGGCTGGGTGCGGACAGGGGGTGCGGGGCTGGAGGCAGGGCAGGGGGTACAGCAGGGGCTGGCTGCGGGCAGGGGGTGCAGCAGGGGCTGGAGGCAGGGCAGGGGGTGCAGCAGGGGCTGGCTGCGGGCAGGGGGTGCAGCGGGGCGGGTGCGGGGCTGGCTGGAGACAGGGGCTGGCTGCGAGCAAGGCAGGGGCTCCCCTGCTTCTACTGCCCCGGCACTTTAAATAGTTGCAGGAGCCCTGGGGAAGCGGCGGGGCTCCAGCGGCTATTTAAAGAGCTGGGGCGGTAGAAGCAACGGGAGCCCTGGACTTTTTAAATAGCCCCCAGAGCCCCAGAGCCCTACCCCAGGGCTCCAGCAGTGGGGCTCTGGTGGCAATTTAAAGGGCCTGGGGCTCCAGCCCCTGCTGGGAGCCCCAGGCCCTTTACATTGCCCCCTGGGGAAGCCCGGCCGCCCGGTACAGCATACTGGCGGCAGCAAGGGCACTGGGCCCGATTCAGGGGAATCGCCTGAATCGGCCTAAAGCCGGCCCTGCTGTCCCGCACCCCAGAGGTGGCTGCACCTCAGCACCAGGTGAAGGATCCGAGTATAAACAGCCCCCGCCCCGCACCCCAGAGGTGGCTGCACCTCAGCGCCCGGTGAAGGATCCGAGTATAAACAACTGGAAAAAAAACATCCCTGTAAGCGCTTTAGGCTGAATGATGCTGTAGATGTGCCAAGCGTCATTCCTGGCACCCAGGTGCTGAGGGAACTGGACAGAGTTGCCTGGGTTGCTCCCCCGGCCCTGCCCTGCCTTCCCAACACACGTCCCCCTCCCTCTCTGTGCGGCTGCAGGAGCGCCACTGGTGAGGCCTGGCACGAGATCATGCTGGCCTGTCTGAGCGGGAAACCCTGCGACGAGAACTCGGGCATCAAGGAGAAAGAGTGTGGCAACGAGTTCGCCTATTTTTATTTTGTCTCCTTCATTTTCCTCTGCTCCTTCCTGGTGAGTCTGCGGGGAGCTGGGCAGAGAGCAACGGGGCACACGTGCGCCGCCGGAGTCGCGAGAGTGCTGGCGTGTGCGGCATGCGTGAGCTGGGTGTGCGTTGACAGGTGGATATGTGTGGCTTGGCATGTGTGCATGCTGCGTGTATGAGCTGTGAGGGTATTTGTAGGTGTGTGCACATCGGTGTGAGTGTGTGCTCTGTGCGCGCCTGGGGGAGTTGTGTTGACGTGTGTATATGTGCATGCATAATGGCACATGCACGAATTGTGTGTGATGACTTGTACGTGTGGGTTTGCATGTGAGCAGATGTGTGCGTACGTATATGCACATTGGCATGTGTGTACACAGTGTATGATGACAGGTGTGTGCATAGTGGCATGTGTGTGCTGCACAAGTAAAGGAAAGATGTGGAGTGGGAGAATGACCGAAAACGTGAGCGAGAGACACACGGAAAGAGGAGGCGTTGGAGCGCTCAGAGCCCCGCCGTGGCAAGGACTGCAGGATTTCACCCCTGGGTTCTTGTCTGCACTGGAGTACTTGTTCAGTATGCTCTGTCTGTCTGTCCCCCCCTCCACACCCCAACCCATCCTGCTGCAGATGCTGAACCTCTTTGTGGCCGTCATCATGGACAACTTTGAGTACCTGACCCGAGACTCCTCCATCCTGGGGCCCCACCACCTGGACGAGTACGTGCGTGTGTGGGCAGAGTACGACCCCGCCGCTTGGTAAGGACCTCACCCTCATCCCGCACCTCCTGCCCCTGCCCAGCAGCTGGGGATCCCCTCCCTACCTCCAGGGGAAGATTGGAGGGCTCGGATTTGTCCATGTCTGCGGGGGAGCCGAGATGAGCCTCCTTGATCAGCAGAGAACTGACTTTGTGAGGGCTGGGGGAAGGGGGTGGGGAGCAGAAAGAACCAGGTCAAGGAGGAGTGGGATCTAGCTGTCAGAGCCTGGTTGGGGCTGGGTGTCAGGACTCCTGGATTCTATGCCCAGCTCAGGAAGGGGAGTGGATACCGGACCCAGGTGCCTTCGCTCTAATCCACTATTCCAGGGATGAGCAGTTACTTGGCTTGATTCAGTGCCATGGGGATACTGGGCTAGATGGCCTACTCTGGACAATCCAGCACAGACGTCGGCTCAGATTCCTGGGTTCTTGTAGGGTCTGAAGTTTCCAGGCCCATCTGGAAGTTTCTAGGGCTGGGAGAAGGGGGTGCAGGGCACCCTGGGGTCCAAGCACCATGGGAAGGAGCCATCAGCCAGCATCTCCTGAGCCGAGACCCCTTTGCAGTGGGGGGCGGGGAAGGGGTTGGATCCTAGTCAATACCCTGGTTTGCTGGGTAGCCACTGCCTTGGGTTAGTTCCTGGACAAAGATGGACAAAGCCTCCTAGAAGCAGCCCTTGTTAGTCCTACAGAACAGTAAGTTATCTGCCCGGCTGCCTCCTTCCATCCCCTAACAGATCAGTGTGTCCTCTGGCCTGCGGGCAGGGGCTGTGTTCCTCCGGTGGCCAGGAGGGGCGGCACATGGAGGCCTGTCTCATGGCTGAATGCCAGCTCTCAGGGGCAGTGCTGCTCCCATGTGCTGGCACAGCTCAGCTGGCACGGAGATTAGAGCAAACCCCTCCCACATCGTCTGACCAGGATCAGATTCGGGGCAGACAGGACCAGTTCCCACTCAGCACTGACCCAGCTGTACGCTAGCGAGACCGGATCCCAAAGCCCGTCCACCCCTCCTGGGCTGGCTCTGTGTCCCGCTCGGGGCCCTGCACACGCAGGCTCTTGGCTCTTCTTGCTGTTTAATGTTTCCTTTTTCAATTTTAGGTTTTTGCAGCTGGATTCTCTCCAACCCTCCCCCCCTTCCCAAGCAAATCAAAGGGCCCTAGGGTGTCCTGGGGATGTCCCGTGGTGCTCCGGGCTATCCTATTATTACTGCACATTGGGAAGTGGGTAACAGCTTGCAGAAGAGACGGCTGGATGGAAAACACAGGGCTGTTTTCCTCCCACGCCCCGATGAGTCCCCATATGCTCTGCAGAGACCCCACGCAGTCAGAGCTCGGTGACACAATCAGCACCGGCAGGGAGAGGCCGCTAGCTAGACACAGGGCGTTAGGGGATGTACCCCCACCCCGGCTCCATGACGTTATGACTCCTCTGCCCCTGGTGTATCCTCTGGAGCCGGAAACTGCGCTGGGGCCGGGCTGGCGCTGCGCCATTGAGGCACTGGAGTGGGGTGGCCTGCCCCTGCGGAGGATTCCTGGAGTGTTGTGTTCGGTTCTGTGCCATGGGGCCGCCACCCCAGGCGTTGTGCTGTCCCACGTCGTCCCTGTGCCCTGTTCCGTTTCTAGGAAATGCCCGTTGTTTCCAGGTTTAAGGTGTTTGTCTACGCTGCCAACCCTACCTGGCAAGCCCTGCCAAGCCCAGCAGGAGGAGCTCCCAACCGGCCCCCGAGTCCGATCTCGTGCCACTGGGGGGTAGACATAACCCTGCCCCCGCCTTGGCACGAGGGTCCTTTGCATATGAGTGACACCCCTCCCCCAGGAAAAAGAAAGCAAAATGTCGGGTCCTGATCCCAAACCCATTGGAGTCAATGGCAGCCTTTGCATTGACTTCACTGGGCTTCGCATCAGGCCTTTGGGTCTGAAAACAGAGCAGGGAGTCTGGACCCCAGGTTCTGTCCCCAGCTCGGGATGGGATGTGGGGTCTCGTGGGTTAGAGCAGAGGGGGCTGGGAGCCAGGACTCGGGTTCTGTCGCCAATTCTGCTGATGGCTCCCTGGGTGACCTTGAATAAGTCACTGTCCCCAACCCTGCAGCTCTATGCCTCAGTTTCCCCAATAACAGACCCACCTCCCAGGACATCTTAGCCAGCTATGGTCTGTCAGCTGGTCAGTAGTAGCGATTTTAACACTAGGCCTCTACTCTGCAAAGGCCAAGCACTCTCAGCTCCCACTGGAGCCCACACGAATGCGTATCCAACCCCCCACCTCCAAGGTAAATCCAGGCAATATTGCCTTAGCTGGCCTGGGCACCCATTCCTGGCAGCCTTGCTGTGATCTATGTGTACATGACAGTTTGTGTGTTTCTCGCCCTGTAGCATCTGCACTAACCCCCTGTATTCTTCTTGCAGTGGCCGAATTCATTATAAGGATATGTACAGTTTATTACGTGTTATATCTCCCCCACTGGGCTTAGGCAAGAAATGCCCTCATAGGGTTGCTTGCAAGGTTTGACTTACACTAAAACCTGCTAGCATCAACGGAATGAATGTTGCTTATGGTTTCTTTAATATATATATTTCAAATATATATATACACACACATCTCGGTATCCTGCACTTTTCAAGGAGTAACCCAGTCCCGTCCTTAGCACACAGAATGCATACGAGGATGCCGTCCGCCCAGTACCGCATGGAGCATCTCGGTGATTTTGAACCCTTTCTGCTTGCTGTCAGCTGAAGCTAGGCACTGAGGATCTGTACCACTGTATCTCTACACACATCCCTCCACCACCCTTCGCACATTGAGTTTTTTCATCTGGGGAGGACGGAAACTGCATTGACACCTCTGCCATTTATCCCTTCCCTTCCCCTCCCCCCCGTCCACCACCTTCCCACCCCCCGCCCACCACCTTCTCCAGCATTGGCAAAGAGGCGTGCTCTAAGCTAAATCTCTTTCTCTCTGTCCTGTTCTTTGCTACAAAGACGGCCGATCCTGCAGTCCTCCCTCCCAGAACACCAGGAGGAATTTTGGCTAAAGGACTCCAGGAACCCAGCAAATCACTTAAGCATGTGCCTCCACTAATTTCTCTTAAGCAAGGGCAGAATGCAGTGCCCCCTGAAGGCAATGGACAAACTGCCATTGATTTCATTGGGCAGTGGATGGATGGGAGCTTAAGTGCTTTGCTGAATCAACTGTTCCCTTCCCCCCACCCCCAAAGCTGGCTAGTTACACATAGGAATGAAAGATGTGTGAGCGCTCACTCTTTCTGCTGGG